CTAAGGTCAAACACTGTGTCCGCTGGTGGCCAAAATAGTCCAAAACCTTGTCTAATGACCCTATCCACTTCCAGCTCTCTAAACATAGGCTTCCTCTGAAATGATACTGTCCCTGGTTAAAAATCATAAACAGGTCTCAGCAGAACGGCCTTCACACTCTGGATTGACCTTTTGGAAAATTCCATAAATATAACTTTGTTTATATTCTTGTAATACTTATTAAAGCAGTCCTAACAAATCAGACTATTAACTTTCTTACTTTTTAGCTTGTGCTATATTTACTCTCTTCAGATATTTTAAACATTTCACAATACTCCCTTTTGACCATCACTTTTTTGTAAACTGTCACAATCTGCTTGAGTGGATAGGCTGGTATAAAAGGATACCACAAGTGCTGCAAAAGTGTTCAAGCCACAAGTTGTTATCCTGCTTTCTGTGTTAATGGAAGTGCTCCAGCTCTAATGGAGGGATGGATGATGGATGGATAATGCATGGACGCTTTATTAATTCAGGTTTTGCAGCCATCTTAGGCACACCTTTAAGAAAAAACAATGTAGCATAATATGAGGAGAGAAGGAGGGGAAAAAAGAAACAACACCCAGACCGTGCTCCTGTGGGGAGGATAATGTGGGACCAGGACAAGAAAAATACCTCAGCGACATAAGCACATAATCAAACACAGTACAACATGAAGACGCAACTTGCAACAGGGGAGGGGAGTGGGGGGTAGAGTTACAGGCAAAACACTATACAATACAAAAACACAATACAACAACGACAGCCGTGGGATGCGGGATGGGCCTCGAGAGTCACTCCGCTTGGCATCGTCCCAGACAGTCAACATCCACAGGTGTCAGTGGAACTCGGGCAAAGAAATGAAAGAGAGTCTCAGTGCATGTCCTTCGAGGGGAGTTGTTGTTCCAGCAGCGGCCTTGTCCGAGGCTGGTGCTAGATGAGGGAGGTCAAAAGCAGATAGGTTGTTCGGGTTTGGTGCGAGTAGCCACATTTCAGTTCCGTTTGTCCTTATTGATCTCAGTATTTATCCTTTTGTCTTTGCAGGTCTGCGAGCTTTTCCATGATATTAACAATATTGTGGTTTAAAGCCACAGTCTGAGTGCTGACAGTTTTGCCCACTGTTTCAGTCAACCCAGGCAGCCTAGTGGGGCTTTGAACAGCTTCCTCTGTATTCTGAGTTTTTTGAAAAACCATGGCTATGCCTAATCCAGTCAGCAAAACGAATGTAATCATGGTTTCGAATAGGTAGATTTCTTCTCTGTCCTCCACTGAAACAGCCGCCAGACACACAACGTGCCACTTCTCCCAATCATCCATCATGCACCACTGCAAACGTCCCAGCAGGGCATTCAGGTTCCCACAAACCCAAGTTCCTTGTGTCAATTGCGTTGAGAGACCAATTGATCAAATCCATGATTAATTTTAGGTTTGGAAGAGCATCTCTAATGATGTGCCTGGTAGGATCTGAACACTGAAGACCATTGGAATCCTAATTGGAAAATCAATCAATCAATCAAACTTTATTTATAAAGCGCTTTTCATACAAAAATGTAACACAAAGTGCTTTACAGTGATTAAAAACAATTCCACATTTCCATCCACCCACCCACTTACCCAACCCCCACACCTGCCTGACCCCACACAACCAAACAACCCAGACACGCACACCCACGCGCACACACACGCACACACACACACACGCCCTAAGATGGTAAAATACATAAAATCACCTAGAGTAAAATGTGAGGCTGAATACAGGCGAACCAGTTGAGAAAGCACCATCAGAGGAGCCGTCCACCACCATCAGGAACCACCACAGGGTCCAGGGGAGAGATGAAGCCCAATCACCATCTCTCCACCAGGAGCCCACGGGACAGACCGCGACAGCCACTGCCGACCTCCGCTCCTGATGCAGAGGCTCCGACAGAGGAAACACTGGAAATCCTAAAAAATATGCCTAAAATAAATAAATATAATGAAATGTGTACAATAGAAACAGGTAAAAGTATAAGAATTTAATCAAAAGCTAAGCTAAAAAGGTGGGTCTTGAGCCTGCTCTTAAAAACATGAACGTTCTCTGCAGCCCTGAGCTCCTCCGGCAGGCAGTTCCATAGACGGGGGCCATAGTACTGAAAAGACACCTCTCCGTGAGTGTGTGTCCTGACTTTGGGAATGAGCAGGAGCCTGCTGTCGGAGGAGCGCAGGGTCCGCGAGGGTTCGTAGGGTAAAAGCAGTTCTGAAAGATAAGAAGGCCCAAGACCATTAAGACATTTAAAAACCAGTAAAAGAATTTTAAAATCGATCCTGAAACTCACAGGGAGCCAATGCAGTGATTTTAAAACCGGTGTAATGTGGTCCCGCCCTCTTGTCCTCGTCAGGACACGTGCTGCTGAATTTTGTAATAATTGCAAACCTGAAATACACTTTTTGGGAAGACCAGAGAGCAGGGCATTACAGTAGTCTATTCGACTGGTGATAAAAGCATGCATGAGCGTCTCCGTGTTGGACAGAGAGAGAATGGGGCGGACTCTGACTATGTTTTTTAGGTGATAAAAAACAGTTTTTGTGATGTTCTTAATGTGTGGTATAAAAGTCAGCTCAGAGTCAAAAATGACGCCCAGGTTTTTCACTTGAGGAGAAGGGTTAAAACACTGTGCTTGTAGTTTGGGTAAAAGTTTCTCTCTCTGGGCCTCAGGACCAGTGACTAAAACCTCAGTTTTGCCCTTGACTGTGTGAGCTTTAGTGGATACTTTTTTTATTTATTAATTTAATTGTTTATTTATTTTAATGAGACAGGGACAGTGCACAGTTTTTACATTAACCTTAACAGGAGAGATGCATTGGATCAAAACTGATCAGATATTTTTCCCTGAATCTCACTATACAATGACTAGTGCACAAGCAAAGCCTATTCTCTGAGCCACAGGAAGTCAGAGCAGAGACCTGAGCACAGGACTAGCATACTTATTTTGTGGTTGAATACAACAGTACAACCTTCAGACAAATGCAAGTCTCTCTAGTGCAGTCCATCCAATGCAGTGTTTTAGGTGGTAAAAAAAAAACAAAAAAAACTTATGTTACTGATTTGAGTGAATTATTATCAGGGCATAAGGTGTCGTTTATCGCCAGTACTTTCCTCGGTATGTACAAAAGATTTATACAAGATTTTTAGTATTGTTGGCCTGAAATAAAAAAACATATACAACAATACCACACATGCTAATAGAGGTTGCTTGTTTAAATAATGTGTAATTGGACTTTTTAAATGCAAGAGCAGTGAAAGACTGACACGGAAGACTGACTTGTGGGTGACCAGTGTTAAGTCAACACGTGAGCTACGTGAGTCAGAATCTATGTCAACCAGAATCTATGTGGTTTTAAAAGTTAAGGCAAAGGTGACCTATTTATTGTCGTCCGTGAGAAGAGTACTTGTCTTATGCACAATAAGAAACCTGCAACTTCTTTTATTGGGTGGCAAAAGCTCCAGTGGATTACACTTCATTTATATGCAGCATATTAAAAGAAAAGTGCATGTAAAATGTAAAGAGTATTAGCTTGCAAAAATAATTACATATTTTGATAGTGTATTTTGAATGATTTTTTATGCTTTGTTCAATTTTCACTGTAAATTCTCACTCATCCAGACTATGAATGAACAATTATGGAATGTAGTCAACAAAACAAAAAACCTCAAAATAACTCAATAACTAGAGGTTTTTATATGCACCCTCTGCTTTGATAACAGCTTTGCACTCTTGGCATTCCATGACAAGGCACACCTGTGAAGTGAAAATCACTTTCAGGTAACTTCATCATGAAGATCATTGAGAGAAGGCAAAAGGTTTGTTGAGCTGTTGACAAAGTAAAGGGAGGCCATGCTGAGGAATTGGAATATAAAATATGAAAAGTATTTAGCTTTTTTTTTGCTACATAATTTATTTATCATGCATCATATCTGATGTCTTCTATAAAATGTAGAATGTAATAAATAATATAAATAAAGAAAACAATAATAATAAAGAAAAACACTGAATGAGCTGTTGTGTTCAGCTTTTGACAGGTAGTGTATATAGTAAAACATTATTAAACAGGCCACTGGTCTTTCAAAGGAGGAAATGTTTCTTTTGCTGTGGTGATAAACTGTTTGTGGTGGTGATCTGAACTTTGAATGTAAAAAGTGGGGGGTGTGGACTGGGAGGAGGAGGTGGGGGTTGAGTGTTTTACATGTAAAACTATCAGCATTTCAAAATCTCAGCATTTGACTTCAGCACAACCATTTAAACAGGTAAGCAGTTTTTCTTCTTCTGATACCAACACTATCTTTTGAATTCTTTGTTATATGGATAGTTAAGTGGTGTATAACTACTGCTATGATGTAATTGATGTGTTGCTATACAGTTATTGATGTACTGCTATATGTTATTATTGTACTATTATAATTCACCCAGAAAACAGGGACTAGATTACAGATAAGGGATGCAGAGATAGGTTCAGTTCATGTACAAGATATTCTATTTCTATCTATATGTCTAATCAATTAACTATAGGGCAAGGACTTAATGACAGAGATATGCTGACTCACGACTCATCACCCTGATCAGAGCTGCTCCTGTAAGGGGAGTGAGATGAATCCGGGGGATCCTTGTCACAATCGGATAAGATTGTGCAACGTGCCAAGAGGCCTGCCTGGCCTGTGCACCAACAAAGAGGCACTAAGTCTAAACCATGGTCGCCTCCCACTATAGTTTGCATATAAAAATCATTGTATAGGTGTAAATATTCAGTCTCTGCATGGGAATGTCAGCACAGACTCCTTGTACAAGTATGACTTTGGAATAAGTAAATTATCTGGACTTTATTTCAGTTTCAAGTGTAATTTTTTCTCTAAGCAGAAACTAATGAACACATGAGGAAAGGGTTATTTTCCTCAACAAAAGTATCAATTCAGTTTTAATTGTAAATTGATTTCATGCTCTTATCCACAGAGAACAAAGATGAAGATACAAGCCGCCTTCTTGCTGTTGTTCCTGATGTCTGCCAGTGGCTTCCTTAAAAAACATAAAAACCCACTTACGCCCTACGGACGATTTCAAAAGTTTGTTAGGGTGCATATCATCAATACTACAATGCGTGCCAATGAGTGTTTCAAAAAGCTCAAAACCTTGAAGGTTAATGAAGGCCAGAAATGCAAGAAAATCAATACTTTCATCCAAGCAACTGTACAAGATGTCGTTGATGTGTGCGAGAATGGAGAGAAAGTCAGAGTTGATGGTGAAATTATGCATAAAAGCAAGAGAAAGTTCAAGATCACTGTGTGCTCATTGAACAATGAGTCCCCCAAGTGTAAATATAAGGGTGAGACCAGGGAGGCCAAGATCCAGATCAAATGTATGGACATGAGCCTGCCAGTGCACTTCCATGGTGAGGAAGACTATGACTATGAAGAATTGTTGTGGTATTAAAAGCATTGTGTATCTTGCTGTGTAACTAACTGTGGCAAATTATCTTCTGTTTTGTTCTATGCAGTATCATGTATATTGATTGGATTGTATGCCAAAGACTCTTAAAATGTAAATGTAATAAAATAAATATCAAATGTTGCCTGTGTGTGTGTCTGGAACAACAATCAGTCTAATTTATAGCGCAAGTTAAACGATGTGGTAAAGGCAGAAATAACTTAGCAATATGATCAATAATAATAATAAGATATAAGCAATATTATCAAAATAGATTCAACTGAAATAACACATGTCTCAAACACTAAATTTCTGGGTGTCCTTGTTGATGATAATTTAAACTGGAAAGAGCACGCTGAGGTGACCAGAAAAAATAATTAATCTCTTGGTATTATCAGAAAAGTTTGTACATTTGTGGACTCAAAATCTAGACGTACATTATACTATTTGATTTACCCCTATCTGTCATATTGTAACATAGTTTGGGCAAACAGTTTCCCAGCAATGCTAAACAAAATATAATTTATTATTCACCAAACTTAACATTCATAATATGTAATATTAAGATTTATGTATAAAACTCTTTATAATACAACTATGATCCTTGAACATTTCGCATTTTACTTTAAAAACAATGCAGAGATTCATACATACAAAACTTGTCAAATTTGTAATTTTCATGTTCCAAAATGTGTCACATCAAGAGCTCAGTTTTGCTTATGATACAGAGCCACTTTTCACATCTGGTTAGTGATGGTATATCAGAAATGTTGTTTAAAAAGAGTTTGAGGAAATGTTTGCTATTTCATGGTAATGTTTAATGATCATTCAATTGTGGGCAGCCTAGCTTCAGTCAGTCTGTCCCAGGGCAGCTGTGACTACAATAGTTGCTTACCACCACCAGGTATGGAGTGAATGAATAATGGTCTGTAAAAGCATCGTTGTGACATGTCTGTGAAAAGCACTATATAAATAAAAACTTACTTACTTACTTACTATGTGTGTTAGAAATATTATACATTCCGATATGCATCAACAAAAAAAAAAAAAAAATTGTTTCCACTGACAATGTAGCATTTGTGCAATATAAATCTATGGTGCAAGCATGCGTGTGTGTAATTGTGGTTTAAAGATGTTAAAACCACACTTGCTCAAAAATGCTTGCATCAATCTTCATGCAAAAGAAAATTTAAAAATACAATGGAATGATGGTATATCAGAAATGTTGTTTAAAAAGAGTTTGAGGAAATGTTTGCTATTTCATGGTAATGTTTAATAATCATTCAATTGTGGGATGTTTCATTGTGTTTAATCCAAGTTTAAATCAAATTGATTTAATCCGAGGTGTGTAAATGTCAAAACCACACTTGCTGAAAAAACGCTTGCACCAATCTTCAAGCAAAAGAAAATTAAAAAATGCAATGGAGTTATCATAAAACCGATTTAAATTATCATAATGCATACATAAAACAATACAACTCCAAGTATTCCAAAACAACTCCAAATATTCCTTGAACTATGTAGAGTATGACTTTGGGCTGAATGAGTCAGAGAACTCATAATGCCATATATCATGTTGCAACAAAAATAATAATTCATTACTTTTAAATTGCTCTTTTCCATATGCTCAAAGTTTCCTTAACAATTTTAAGCATTATTCATTCACTCCTTACTGCCACAGCTTGGCCACCCCCACCTATGTCATTGTGGTGTGTTTGCTTGAGTGAATGGTGGTGGTGGTAGGGGCAGATGGTTCAGACTGGCAGCTTGTTTGTAATTGCATAGCACACCCAGATGGCCGATGTCCAAAAGCTTTTATTTATTTTTTATTTTTTTCTTTGGACCACAATATACAAAGTCACTATCCGAAAAGGGGCAAAAATACCTCTTTCCTTGTCCTTCCTTCTCCTTGTCCCTGACCTCTGAAAGCTGTGTCATGAGGTCAACTATAAGGACCAAGGAGGAAAAAGGAGGAGAGGAGAAGGAGCTATCGCTGCTTTAGGTGAATCGGGGTCCTCCTAACCAGATGCAGGAACAACTGTCAAAACTACAACATCCAATTGTCAACGAACTACAACAAGCACACCACCTTCCACTATGGCGTTTTATGAGAATTATATAAACCTTTCAGTCTTTTCATCACAACTGTAGTCAACATAAACAAAGTGACAGTACATGAGTGAAATGACTGCTGTTAAATAAAGAGCTGTGATAAACCTGCACACATGTGATCTCTGAATAGTTTAACATGAACCATCTCCAATGCAACAGGAGCACAGAAAAGACTCACCACCAGCAGCACATTCTCTGTCACAGAAAGAACACATATATTCGTCGTGTTCTTTAGTCCGACAGACATGGAGCTAGAATTGTCTCATAAAGATTAATAAATTTAAAAAAAGATGATTATTCATAACATGATAACGCGATCATAGTCAAATAATTATTCACATCAAATAGATAAATATGGAAATCTGATACTCTTATTAGTAACTGTGTTTGTCTACAATAATTAACATTCTGAAAGACATACTTGGAAAAAGTCATGGGTTCAGAGGCTCCTAGTTTTAATATTCAAAAAGAGAGCACTTCTGGATTCACCAACTTAAGACTCTTGCAGAAAATGTTGGTTGGAGAGATTGGAGCATCTGTCTCCTGTCACAGGGGTTCTTCAGGCAACATGACAGAAGTGATAATCATAACACATAAAACACACATTCCAATGAGAAAAATAAACATTTAAAACTACTATTCCACTGATGCCTTCTCACATAACATTGTATGAAAAAAGCAGAACAGAAAGAAGGAACTCAAGATTTTGCAAGACATTTTTTTAATCTTAAACAATCTGCAGAAGTGGGGAGAAGTATTTTCACTGGTGGGGGATGAGCACCTGGACTGGTAGCCATTTTGTGTACTGTTGTCCAAAGCAAGAACAATTATAACGTTATATAAAAAAAATAAAAATAAAAAAATGTGGACACCTGCCATCTGAGTGTACTATGCATTTTTTCATTTTTATATTGCTGCTCCTTGCATTTGCACCTCTACAAGAAGTTTGGTGTGTGTTTTCTGTTTCATCTGAGCTTGTGTGTAATTGTGACTGGGTAAATGAATCACATGGGGCTTGAATGGTGACAGTGATATTGAGTACAACTGAAGTGAGAGCTTGTGTACAACCAATAAATACGATATTATTAAAAGGGAAAACAATTTATTTACAATGGCATATTAGAGAAAGAAAGAAAGAAGAAGGAAGCAGAACAGCAAGAAGGAACTCAAGATTGTGCAAGATTTTTTTTTTAATCTTCAACAAGACATGCAGAAGTGGTAGATGAGGAAGCTTAATCAGCAGAAATCAAGAGTATAAATGACTGGCCCAGACTATACAAATTCATACTAACTGGGCACTGACACAGGTAACAGACTTTTTCTTACCCAACTTAATAAAAAGATGCAAATATGTAGGCCTATATGCATGATTGTACTCTTCCTTTTAACTTCTATCAGGGAGTCATGAGGACCTACTTTCTGTTTTTGCTGGTGCTCTTCCCATCTGCTCTGCTGGGACAGAATGATAATTATCGCTACAAGAAATTCATCAACCAACATGTCAAACAGGGTATGAGCAGGACGCGCTGTGATGCTGTGATGGGTGACAGACGAATAACTGAAACTAACAGCAATGAGTGTAAGGAGACCAATACATTCATAGATGCTGGGACCAATGAAATCAACAGGGTGTGTAACAGAGCTGGAGCACCATATCAAAACAGCGCTCGGCTGAGAGTGAGCAACCAGCCTTTCCCTCTTGTGATCTGCAGCCGGAGGAGAAACAAATACTATCCCCACTGTCAATACAGGGGAAGCTCTACTACCAGGTACATTGTTATTGAATGTGAGAACGGCTTCCCTGTGCACTTTGAGCGTGATGTCTATGTCGTCAATAACGGATAAAATAAATGAAAATTATATTAAATGTGATAAAAACCAAGCAGCAACCATAGCTGGCATTTCTTTCAATAAAATTCATTCTAGCAGCATATCTCATGTTTTTTTTATTTATTTATTAAATTTTATAGTGTGATATTAAGGAGATTGGCATGAGATTCTTCATGTATATTTCAATGTAACCAGTACAGAAAAGCTGACCATCTTTTACAACAATAGGTAGCCTAGATTATATTTGTTACTTTAAATAAACGACAATTTTAAACCAAAGTGGACCTAACCTGTCTGATTATCCCAATTACCAAGTCACTTGCACACACATTACAGTCAAGCAAAGGAATTTATGCTGCTGAGCAAGCGTCTCTACCAACGGAGCCACTTTGCCCATGACAGCCAGTGAAGAAGGCAATGACAAAAAAGTAATACAAAAATCAAAGCTGAGATGGTTAGTAGAATTGCTATATATATATATATATATATATATATATATATATATATATATATATATATATATATATATATATTTTTTTTTTTTTTTTTTTTATTTTTTTTTTTTTTTTTTTGACTGATAACACATACTGTAACATATTCAGATCACCATGTTACCTTTTACAGTTTTGAAAATGCTATATTCACTGAAAACAATATATTAACACATCATGCCTTTGTATATTTATGGTGATCAGCGCTCATGTAGGTATTAACTGCATGCCACTGACTGCGTCCAGACGTCTCTTTCATCAATAAAATAAAAAAATAAGTTGCTACTATAACTGTGTGCTCTGGTTGTCATACACGTGGATTTGTTTGATTTGTTTTTCATAGTCCACTTGCCAAAAGTGCCGTGAGAATACAGTCCGAACCGAGAGGGAAAAAAAAGTCTGGATCAAACAAGCAGACTTTAACACTTTTCTTGTCCACCCTAAAACTATTAGGATATTACTCCAAACTACTTAAATTGCATTGCATAATCTTAATCAACGTCTTCCTGTGATATACGCTCTTTACCAGAAGATGGCAGCAAAACAGTTGGACAAAGACAAAACATGTTGAAGGAGAACTGCTGTACACGCACGCTCCTGCACGCACACACACGCAATGAAACGCTGTTGTTAGAGGTTGTCTAACATAAACAGATTCTTTAATCTATTTTGTACTTGCCCAAGGACTGCAGATGGAGATTAGTCTGTAGCTAAATCAGAGCAGCATTATGTATGGTCAGTGAATAGGCCTTTTGGTTAAAACAAAAACAAATAAAAACCAGGCTACTTATGTTACTGATTTGAGTGAATTATTATCAGGACATACGTTGTTGTTTGTGGCCAGTACTTAACTCAATATATGTACAAAATATGTGTAAAAGATTTTTAGTATTGTTGGCCTGAAATTCAACAATACACCTGCCAATAGAGGTTGCTTGTTTAAATAATGTGTAATTGGACTTTTTAAATGCAAGAGCAGTGAGAGACTGACACGAAAGACTGACTTGTGGGAGACCAGTGTTAACTCAACAGGTAGCTCATGAGTCAACCAGAATCTATGTGGTTTTAAAAGTTGATGCAAAGGTGACCTGTTTATAGTCGTCCGTGAGAAGAGTATTTGTCTTATGCACAAAAAGAAACCTGCAATTTCTTTTATTGGATGGTGAAAGCTCCAGTGGATTACACTTTTTTTATTTGCAGCATATTAAAAGGAAAGTGCATGTAAAATGTAAAGAGTAGTTCTATTAGCTTGCAAAAATAATTACATATTTTTATTTATTTTTTGTTTTTTTTGAAAGATGTCTGTGCATTTCCCTGAATTAAAACAACTTGCTTTGAAAATCTTTAGAAGCAAAGTTGCCTCAAAAATGACATTTTATGCTTTGTTCTTTATTTTTCTGACAATTTTCACTGTAGATTCTCACTCATCCAAACTATGAATGAACACATATCTAATGTAGTCAACAAAACAAAACAAAAAAAAACTAAAATAAAATAAAATAAAAAAACCTCAATAACTAGAGGTTTTTATATGCCCCCTTTCCTTTGATAACAGCTTTGCACTCTTGGCATTCCATGACAAGGCACACTTGTGAAGTGAAAATCACTTTCAGGTAACTTCATCATGAAGATCATTGAGAGGTAAAAGGTTTGTTGAGCTGTTGACAAAGTAAAGGGAGGCCATGCTGAGGAATTGGAATATAAAATATGAAAAGCATTTGGCTTTTTTTTTTGCTACATCATTTATTTATCATGCATCATATCTGATGTCTTCTATAAGATGTAGTATGTAATCAATAATATAAATAAAGAACAACAATAATAATAAAGAAAAACACTGAACACTGAATGAGCAGTTGTGTTCAGCTTTTGACAGGTAGTGTATATAGTAAAACATTATTAAACAGGCCACTGGTCTTTCAAAGGAGGAAATGTTTCTTTTGCTGTGGTGATAAACTGTTTGTGGTGGTCTGAACTTTGAATGTAAAAAGTGGGGGGTGTGGAGTGGGAGGAGGAGGTGGGGGTTGAGGGTTTTACATGTAAAACTATCAGCATTTCAAAAACTCAGCATTTGACTTCAGCACAACCATTTAAAACAGGTAAGCAGTTTTTTTTCTTCTGATACCAACACTATCATTGCATTACGTTGTTATATGGATACTTTGCAGTGACATCACACTGAAGGGGTGCATGCATGTATGTCTATGGCAATGTTCATCCGTTACTGTGATGACAATCTATAGATGATCTGAAAGCTTTTGGCTGCAGTGCTCAGGGACCCGTCTCTGTGATCTTGTTACTCGGCTTGGTCAGGACGACCTTAGTTGGAGATTTTAAACAGAGCAGTGCTTCTAGTTAGCATCACCCCCAGCAAATATTGATGATGTCAGCTGCAAAGTATTAATTCAGTCTTAACTGTTAATAAAATTGATTTCAGGTTCTCATCTTATCGACAGAGAACAAAGATGAAGATACAAGCCGCCTTCTTGCTGTTGTTCCTGATGTCTGCCAGTGGCTTCCTTAAAAAACATAAAAACCCACTTACGCCCTACGGACAATTTGAAAAGTTTGTTAGGGTGCATATCATCAGTACTACAATGCGTGCCAATGAGTGTTTCAACATGCTCAAAACCTTAAAGATTAACGAAGAAGGCCAGAAATGCAAGAAAATCAATACTTTCATCCAAGCAACTGTACAAAATGTCACTGATGTGTGCAAGAAAGGAAAGACAGTCACAGTTAACCGTCAAACTATCCATAAAAGCAATGGACAGTTCAAGATCACTGTGTGCTCACTGACCAAGCCTGGCATGTTCCCCAAGTGTAAATATGACGGTAAGATCAAGGAGGCCAAGATCCAGATCAAATGTGCCGACATGAGCCTGCCAGTGCACTTCCATGGTGAGGCAGACTATGACTATGAATAACTGTTGTGGTATTAAAAGCATTGTGTATCTTGATGTGTAACTAACTGTGGCAAATTATCTTCTGTTTTGTTCTATGCAGTATCATGTGTATTGATTGGATTGTATGCCAGAGACTCTTAAAATGTAAATGTAATAAAATAAATATTGAATGTTGACTATGTATCTGGAGCAATAATCAGTCTAAATTACGCTGCAAGTTAAACGATGCGGTAAAGGCAGTGATAACTTAGCAATATGAGCAATAATAATAAGCAATTATTTAAAGAGGGTGTATTTAACTTCTGCTAACACATGGCAAGGCAAGGCAAGTTTATTTGTATAGCACAATTCGTACACAAAGTAATTCAAAGTGCTTTACAGAATAAGAAATACATTAAAATAATAATAAAAACAAATCAAAACATAAATAATCATGAAGATTAAAATTTAAAAAAAGAGAGACATAAATTGGAGAGAAGAGTGCGGAATGAAAACCTTTCAGTCATATGCACAGTCAAACAGAAATGTTTTGAGTCTGGATTTAAACAGCGTCACAGAAGAGTCTGTCTCACATGTTCAGGAAGACTGTTCCAGGTTTTAGCTGCATGAACCTGAAACGCTGACTCCCCTTGTTTAGTTCTGACTCTGGGCACCAGCAGGAGGCCGGTCCCTGAGCTCCTCAGAGTGCGAGATGGTTCATATGACACTAACATGTCACAGATGTACTTTGGTGCTCGGCCATGGAGAGACTTGTACACAAGCAGAGCTCTGCTTTAAAGTCTATTCTCTGAGGCACAGGAAGCCAGTGCAGCAGAGACCTGAGCACAGGACTTATGTGCTCATACTTCCTAGTCCGAGTAAGGACCCGAGCTGCAGCTTTCTGGATGTTCTGCAGCGTCTCACAGCTCGTTTGGAGAGACCAGTGAGCAGACCATTACAGTAGTCTAACCTACTGGAGACAAACGCATGGATAAGTTTCTCCAAGTCTACTTTAGACAGTAAACCTTTGATTTTTGCCATGTTTTTTAGATGGTAAAAGGCTGCAGATGTTATTGATTTGATGTGGCTGTTAAAGTTCAAGTCTGAGTCCATTATTACCCCTAGATTTCTTGCCTGATTTGAAGGTTTTAGAGAGAGAGACTGAGGAGGTGACTGCTGACACTGTCCCTTTGTTTCTGTGGACCAAACACTATGAATTCAGTCTTGTCAGAGTTTAGCTGGAGAAAGTTGTTTTGCATCCACACACTGATCTGTTGGATGCAGTGACAAAGTGAGTCCACTGGTCCATAGTCTCCTGCTGCCAGAGAGACGTAGATCTGAGTGCCATCTGCATAACTGTGGTAGGACACATTATTGCTGCTTATTAACTGGCCTAAAGGCAGCATGTAGAGATTGAACAACAGGGGGTCCAGGATTGACCCCTGAGGCACCACACAGGTCAGGGCCATGTGACCTGAGACACAGTTTCCAATTTCAACAAAATACTTCCTGTCTTCTAGATAGGACTTGAACCACTTTAGTGCAGTACCAGAGATGCCCACCCAGTCCTCCCACATAATACATTTAGATCAGCATGTTACTTTTTATAGTAATAGTTTAAAGTTGATAACTATATATTAACACATCGTGCTTTTGTATATTTATCATGTAGGAGCATGGGTGATGTGCTTATGGGCTGAGCATTGGACAGAATCTTAAAGCCAACCATAAGGAGGGTTCAAATGGGGCCTGGGACAGATTGCAAGATGACTGAAACATGCATGGATAACATCTTAATACATTTTGCATAAAACCTCCTCTTTAATACTGTCAACATAAAGCTTTTGTCACTTGTAGATTTACTCACATCAGAAACTAAACAGAACATTTACTGAAGATTACAGTTTCTTTTTAAAATAAAGTAGACAAAAATAAAAAGTATAGTGCTATTTAAGGCCATATTCACACCTGCAGACTCGAGTCCATTTAAAACATTATTAGAGTTTGGTTCCCCTGAAAGTCCAGACTTAATTTCAGGTGTGAATAAAGACAAGTGAACTCTAATTCAGACCAAACAAACAGACCGAGGTTGATGTGGGTCTCGGTCTGCTTCCAAATGGACTCTGATGTGGTTTGCTTATGGTCTGCATACACACGTCCTCAATCTGACACAAACACAAAAAACATGTGCCTTTTTGGTCTTGACGAGCCACCGTCAGGATGTAGGATGTGTTCTGGTGTGTTGAGCATCTGCAGAGAGCCCACGATCAAAGGGCCTGTTCACCACGAGCGCTGAGGGGGTGTGGGCTCTTCACGTGTGAGTGTGAATAACCCACAGAAATTACAAGACTTTAAATTGTCTTTCCTAACATGACTGAGGTCCACTATGAGAGAGCAATAGTGGGCCTCAGTCTGCAGTACATGTCCACATAAAAGCCACAGGCCACTCCTTTGAGGACAGTGAGATACAGATCATAGCCAGAGAAAAGAATCTTTTTGAGAGGGAAGTTAAAGAGGCTGTTTTTGTTAGGAAAGACAATCCATCCTTGAACAGAAATGGAGGCCTCAGACATCATCTGTCTCCCATTTACAACTCCATCCTCAGACCTAAATCAAGAACAAAAACAACAAAAACAATAGAAATAGCCAGGTCAGGTCCAGAGGTGTGAAAGCACCCATCATAGGCCTGAATGATTATACTAATATTACTTTTTTATAGTCCATTTGCCAAAAGCGCACTGAGAATATGATTCAAACCAAGTGAAAAAAATTAAGTCAGAATCAAACAAGCAATGTAGAATTTTATTTATTTATTTTTTTGCATGGATTTAATCAAAGTCTTCCTGTAATTTACAGCCTTTACCTGAAGATGGCAGCAAAACAGTAGGACAAAAACATAACATGTTTGGAGAACTGCTGTCCACAAACCCACAAGCACCCCCCACCCCACCCCTCCCACCCCTGTTGACACATGGCACTATCATGTATATTGTATGTGTATATACTAAATTCTTGTTGTATTAGATATTTTGTGTCATTTATTATTCATTAGAAGTAAAAAGAAATTGCATCTCAGTCTTTCTCCTGTCTGGAACAAATGAGGACAGCGATCACAAAGACACAGAGAGCGAGAAGAACAGCCAGGATAATGACGACACCAGAGACATGATCTGAAACAAGATGACACAAGTAAATTAAACATTGTGGGTACTACAAACTTTTTTCCAACTGTAAAATCAAATATAAATCTGTAACACCATATTTTTCTTGTTAGTCAAATATTCAGGTCATGTTAGTGAAAGTCAGTTAAATGTGCCCTATGTAACTTTTCTGGTCTCTATCGAGATGTTATTGCATGAATGTTCCAGGGTTTAATCAGTTACTTTTCACTGCTAAAAATGTATATCTTGAAAAACATGCATCCTCAATGTGCACCCGATTGTCTTTCCACAGATCTAACCTGTAACTCTGTCCATGTCACCTACTTGTCTCCATGGAGATAGATAAGTTTAATGCTTTTGGTGACACATTCCAGGCAAAGCAATAGCATTTCCATAGAAAAGAAGTGATATATTCCCCACTAAAAAAAGTAGTGCATCTTTAAAACCAGAGGACTTTAGATAGGCATAAGTTATAATGTCGTCTGTTCACTGGATGCAAAATATACAGTGTTATGTCTGTAACTGGGCTTTTATTTAAATCTACAAACAATTATTTGGTGAGTGTAAAATGTGAATTTGGATCTGTGCGTTGTCAAACATCACAGTTTGAACTTGGAAACAAATCGTTTAGGGAATAGCAAATAAAATGTAATCTTAACCAAGGATTTATAGTAACTCAACCAGTCTTTTTACTTACATATGTTTATCTCCACTTTGGTCCCTGGTCCAAACAGGACATGTCCACAGATGGCCACAGCGCAGTAGTATGTCCCAGTCTGATTGACGTCCTGTATAGTTGTGGAAAGACTGTAGACACATGTCCTCTGGCTCTGCTCCTCAGTCTGCTCTTCATACGTGTAGATGAAGCTGGCTGCAGATTCTTCTGGTCCAGATTTGAACCAGTGCACATTGCGTTTAGAAGGACACTCAAGTGGAGAGTAGTTCTTGGACACAAGAGAACAGCTGAGATGCACGGGACCTTCTAGAGGAGCTGAAGCCCGTGGGATTTGTTCCACATAGAAAGTGTGGTGCCCTTGGTCTGTAAATCATTAAAATGGAATTGTTAAAAAAAGAACAGAAAGAACATGTAACTAAAGATCTGAATTTCAAAAACTTACCAAGAATAATCAAAAGAGTAGTGTTAACAAAACTCATTTTGTATGATGATCCTGCTTGGCAAACATAAGTGGCTGCATCTTCTCTTCTCACATTATAAATTGTGAAGGTATACACATTTTCCTTTGCTTCTTTAATTTGATTTATTCCAAATCTTGCATTGTTGAAGTTTTCTTTAAATGTTGTTTTCTCATAGGATCCATCTGCAATGGTTTGGACTGGTGATTCCAAACTCATTTTGTAGAAATAAAGCAATCCGGCTTCACTCCTGTCTACAGAACAGGACATAGTGAAAGTATCTCCAGGATTGAGCATGGTCCGAGTAATCTGGTCATCTCCACTGGTCTGACTGAGATCTGAAAAAGAGGAGAAATCAACAGTTATAACCATTGTTAAACACTTGAATGCACCATACTGCTCATAAAATTGCCAGAGTGCTTACACAATAAAATGACAAACAAACAAGACAGATGTCCAATCATTGCGGTGAGACACACTTCACTGACACCAAGTAGAGATGTAAACTAAAGCAGAAGCATCAACTCAACATATTACGTAAGACATAGCCACTCATTGCTGTATATGCGTTTCAGGCTCCACCCCACTATTTATTATGAAGCTATTTTTTTGTTATAGCACAACACAGATATTAAAATGAAAGTAGGTCCACTTGTTTTTGTTTCAACTTGCTTATAATATCTTATTCCAGAATGTCTCAAAATTTGCATCAGTTACACAACAGAGAATATTCAGTAGCTCTACAGACTTTGGGCCAAACCTCAGAGCAGCTTCAGAGAGAGGTGGGTCTGGCTGAATGACCAAGTTGTAGTAACTGGCAGAGATGAAGAATTTCGCATTTATGAAAATCTATGGGTTGGACTGCCCACGTGTCTGTAGAGGAATGTTCAACAGTTACCTCGGTGACACAATGCACAGATTAGGAAACACAGCTTGATAAGTGTTTGGATTGCCTGAAAACAAAATAAGACAAAAGCCAAACAACATGTAGGCAGACTAATAAGAAAGGGTTATTCAAATGTGTGAAAGAAACAAAACACAACTCCAGGTATGTTTTTGAGAAAGTAACAACATTATAACAATATTCTAAGAGCTAAGTGAACACGCAAAACTGAACAAAATGGGATATTCTAAAGTACATTTCTCCTTTCACAAATTTTGAATATATTTCTGAACATAAGGATAAGGAAGGAAAATATATCTTGGTCATAGGTAAATTGGATGGTACTCTAGTGAGCCTGTTACATGTGTACATGCCACCTGCCAGTGACTGGTCATTTTATAAACATGTACTTGAAACATTGACAACTAAATGCCAAGGTATCCCAATATGCAGGGGTGATTTCAACATTAGATTGCACCCTAGAATGGATAGTTCCAATGGAAGATCAGTTGCTAAAAATACCAGTGGAAAAGTGAATAATTTTATGAAGGAGCTAGGAATAATTGACACATGGAGGGAATATAACCATACAGTGTGAGAATATACACATTATTCCTCAGCTCACAATGTTTATTCTCAAATAGACTTCTTCTTAATGTTCAAAACTGATATGAATAGAGCAGGGAGGTGCGAGATTGCCACTTGCGCTATATCAGATCATGAACCTGTATATTTAACACTTAACTTTAGCAACAAAATAAAATCCACTCTCTGGAAATTTAATTCATATATCTTAAATGATTACGATATTAAAAACACTCTGAAAAAAGTAATGATGAGGTCTCTCCTGCAATATTATGGGATGCATTAAAAACTGTAATTTGTGGCAAAATAATGGCAATCTTTTTACAAAACAATGATACTACATGCAGGGAGGAAAGAGTTCAAGCTTCTCTCTTATAGACTGAGATAACAAGAGGCAGAGAGGACAATTCACAAAATTAGACACCCAGTAACTAATAGAATAGAGACTTGCCCCAACAAAATACAAGAATGCTTTGAGGAGTATTACAGAAAATTATACTCTCAGCCTCAGTTAGGAAACAGTGAAGAAATTTGCCAATTTACCAAAAGTCTCTGATGATCAAAATTTTTACTTCTATACTATGTAAAAGGTTGGAGACAATTCTTCCAGAACTCATTAATAAAGACCAGACTGGTTACATTAGACAAACAACAACATTCGAAAATCATTATTAATTACGTTAATTACATATCAATAAATGTAACTTGAAAACACTCTTGATAAGTTTAAATGCTGAGAAAGCATTCGATACGATGATTTTTGTACAAAGTAATGGCTAAATTTGGCTTTGATCCTAATATCATTGACACGGTTGCTGCTCTGTACAACAGGCCAACTGCAAGAATATACTTTTATTTGCTTTATATATTGAACCCTTAAGCCAATTTATAAGACAAAGTACAGAAATGAAAGGAATTGTCCTTAAATCAGGCTTAGCTCTATTTGTGGATGACATATTGTTATTTCTGACTGAACCCTCACAGTCTCTACCAAAACTAATGTGGGTGTTGGATAAATATGGTTTTCTTTCAGGGTACGACAAAACTCAGCTGTTGAAATTTAATTACAAACCACCAACCAGGATAAAATGCATATAAATGGAAATGGGACTCAAATAACATTAAATATTTAGGGGTTGTTTTGACGGGAGATTTATCTGAATTTTTTCATGCAAATTATGATTTTCATGTAAATTCTGAAATCTTATTTGTCACAGATTTGGAGTCATACAAACCATGTTTTTGGGTCTAAATTGATGTTTACTTTTGAGTGTTTATACTTACATACAGCATACAGCCCTATTTGTAGCAAGCAAAAGCCATTACAAGAAAATGGCTGAGGGTGGATCCTCCATCAATAAAGGAGTGGATAGAAATAGTCTATGAAATTTATGTGATGGAAAATCTGTCTCTCACCCTTCAGAACCAAAGGGACTCATTTTATGAAACATGGACAAAATGGACTGAGTATGTGAAACCTATTAGATCAGACTGTATGTGAAAATTAAAACTGTAAACATATCCCAATTGATATTTCAATAAAACAATTGTAACGGCACTCTTCTCCTCTGTGTTTTTTTGTTAAAAAAAAAAAAAAAAAAAAGGCCTACAGCAATGTGCAGCTTAATAATAATAATAATGATAACATTCCCATTGTCTGGACAGTAAAAAACTTTAAAATTATCTTTACAAACTCACAAATGAGTCTTTTTATAACAAGATTAACCAATGCGAGTAAGTCTAAGTACAATATTTGTTTGGCTCACAAGAAATCACCATGTGCAGGTCTGCTCAGGAAGAGGAAGTGAGCCTGTGAACCTTTAAACTTTATGGTCTCTGTAATGTGACTGCCACATGATCTACTCACTACCACAACAGCCAAATGCTGATTTTAGCTAATTTGAAGAAACTTAAACATTGAACGAACTCATACCGTACAGTTAAATAGCATCTAACATTATGAACATCTAAACACAATTTGTATATAAATCTCCAAGCAACACAACCGTGTTATGCTGGTTATCCTCCGAAGGTCTTTGAACCTGAAATTTTGAAATTTATTTATTTATTTATTTATTTATTTATTTATTGGAAAAACAAATGGAAATTTTACTTCTAGTACCGGAGCAGGTGATCACTGTTAAGATCCTTTATATGGGACTGTAACTATATCAGAATAGTGAATTATTTAGATATATAATTTATATATTAAACTATAAAAACTTGCATATTAATTATGCATGTATTTGACCGTTAAAGTGAAAAATATATAACCTCATATGTTTTTGCTGTCCTCCCTTTGTAAAACAAAAGCCATCTGCTGTTTACAGTGTGTTTTGGCGACGTTAGTTCCACTGTTACCACATAAAGACAAGTACAAACCAATCAGAGAAAGCTCCTCCCTTTGATCTCATTATCATAAGACACAGACACCATTTGACATTACACTTCATACAGTGAAGTATAATATCAATAAACTACAAGATCCAGAAAATGTGGACTTTATTATACACAGCCCTTGTCTTCCAAGTGGCCCGTAAGTATTGACACTTGAATAAGATGTTGTATCTGTCCCTTGTTTTTGTAACTATATTTGTGTTGCAGGATGTACAGACAGCAATTTATTTGTGACAAGATTTTATGACCCTGGAGAAACAGTGACTCTCAGATGTCCACGTTCTGTCAAATTTCCAGAGTCACCAACGTTTCACTGGATCAGAGTTCTTTCTGGAAATGTCCCAGAATTTTTAGGAGGAACTTTCTCATTTGAATATAAAAGTGTTAACACGAAACCTCACACTGAGACAAAACAAGGAGATGGAACATTTGATCTGATCATACTTCAGTCTACTCTCAACGACACTGGATTTTACTACTGTGTGAAAGTAGAAGACCTTAATATGGAACTAGTATTTGGAGTATTTCTAAGCAATAATGGTAAAAACTAATTTGCATAATATATATGTATTGTATAACAATACAATATGATTATAGTTGTTGCTTTGCTCTTCAGAGCCAGCCTCTCGTGTGAAAGTGGAGAGTCCAGATCTTTCTGGTCCTGTGGACTCAGGAGACTCTGTGGATCTTCAGTGTTGGGTCCAGATGGAGAATGCTCAGTGTTTTGAGGAGCACATGGTTTTGTGGTTCAGGTCTGGACTGAACCAGTCTGGTGCTGGTTTAGTCTACACTCAGAGGAACAGCTCTGCTCAGTGTAAGAGGAGCACAGAAGATCCTGGTCCTCACAAATGTCTCTACACTTTGTCCAAAACCATGAGCCCCTCTGACACTGGGATGTACCGCTGTGCTGTGGCAGCCTGTGGACTCATTATGTTTGGGAATGGGACTAAAATCACTGTCAAAGGTATTTGTGAGCATATGGTGTGTGTATGTCTGTGTCTGTGTAAAACATACTGTTTATTACAGAGGAAACATCACTTTTTGAGAAAATCATTCTCATCTCGCTGAGTGTTGCTCTGACCATCAGTATCATAGTTATACTGGTGCTCATTTATTTCATCAAGAAGAGGACTGGACAATGTTTCCATGGTAATTCAAGTTCCCAAATTCTGTCAAAAAGTATGCCTCGAAAAAACTTAAATCAAATTTGTCAAAATGTACTATTTCTGTTTTAGTTGGACAAAATTACACTGATGAAAGAGTCAGTGATGAACATGCAAGGCAGTTGGTAAGATGCACTGAATGACAAATATGAATACATAATACATACAATACATAATACAATAATACATTTTAAATGAAGTATTTTTCACAGGGAGATGTTGCCCCCAAGTACAAGAGTAAAACTGACAGATCCCAGCGCAGAGCAGTGAAGACAGAGGAAAAAGTGCTCTACTCTGATGTGAGAGTTCCACAGTAAAATTAAGTCATTAAGAGTTCATCCATGTACTTAAGGCCACTGAGCCATTCTGTATTATTCCATCTATTTCTTATAAGTAGACTGATTCAATCTTGTTCCTTGTTATTATGATAAAATGATAAACATGTTTTTGGTTAATTAAAATTTAAATTTTTTGCCATAGTATGTAGTAGTGTGTAATTTAAGATAAGGGGACATTAATTTGTCCCACAATGGAAAAATTCAAGATTTATGCATATTGTCTCAAGTAAATTACACTACATTAAATATATTGAAAATATTTATCAGTTTTTTTAATTTCATAATGGCATGGAGCAACGGCTCAGCTCCAACCTCTTGTTGCACCTTCTGGTGCTTTCTCAACTGGTTCGCCTGTATTCAGCCTCACATGTGTAGTTTTATGTATTTTAGCATTTTAGTACGTGTATGTGTGTGTGTGTGTGTGTGTGTGTGTGTGTGTGTGTGTGTCTGTCTGTGTGGGTGAGTGAGTGTGACTTTTTTTTTTTTTAAATATGAAAAGTGCTTTATAAATAAAGTTGGATTGATTGATTGACTGATTCAACTGATTCTAAGGCAGCTAGCAAAGAAAAGAGTTTCAGAGGAAAGTTTTCCACCAGTCAACCTCAGACTGTGCAGACAAACCAAGCAGCAGTTTCACAAAGAGAAGACTAACTCACAAAGAAAAGCACATTCTTTTTAAAAATGGCAGTGCAATGTCTTGGTATGTTTTTTTTTTTTTTTTTTTTTCAACATGTCCTCCAAATGCATGGGAAATCTAATTGTGAAAGTGTTTACGTAGCAACACATGAAAATTACACTGGCACCGCAGCTGGGACAAACCACAACTTCCCATCCACCATGTGCAAAGTTGTCATGGTCTCTTGTGTTGCAAAGTCATACTTAGTTTACTATTTCTCACTCTGTAATGTTATTCAGGATATACATTTTTGAGTAGTTTTATTAAAAGGATGCTTTGTGTTGCTGTTGGTTAAATTAATCAGTCATGAAAATGGTGTACAACAAACTATGTGACATTTGCTCTCTCTTTTATCAGTTTGAAATTTCAGTGGGAAAAAAATAAGATAAAATTATTTCAAGCAGAAAACATTTTTGGAGTAAATACATTTCGCCTCAAGTGATTCAACTCCCTACTTCAGTTCTGACCCAGCTCTGACACAAATACTGTATCTCTCTGAAGGGAGGAGCTAGCTAGACTGAAATTATTCTGAATTTACATGGCCCACCTGCTCCAAACCTAAAACAGAATATGTACTGTAGGTCTATCAGGTTCCTTGTTCTTGGTTTGTGTAGGGTGACCAGACATCCTCTTTTCCAGAGATTTTCTAGATTTGGTAACTTTGTGTGGGTCACTTTTCTTTGTTTTAGCATCAGTCTTGGGTCAAATAATCAGATACAGCCAGTTCAACCAGTGTGAAATCCAAAAACCCTATCATATTCACAGATATTGTTCATGGCTGTGTATTATCATCACCAATCGTATATATAGATCACTAACATCACTTGTAACAGTGCAGTCTAACCATGCTCTACTATGCAGATGATATGGCTCTTGAAGCTAACATCAGCAAATCAAGTTGCTCATGACTTGGATAGATAGTTAGAGCTTGATATCAAAGAAATCCCAATGCAAAAAGGTGAAGGCAGAGGAGTTTGTGGATGTTATGAAAAAGTACAGACAAAACCTGACCATTACTTTTACTGCATGATCTTGTTGATTGTAAGATTCTAATTGTAATTTTAGTTTTAGTGGTACAGTTTAGTTTGCTTAATTTTCATGTGCTCAATCATTACATAATGGTAAATGAGTTTAGACTGAAAGTGTATATAAATAATAGTCTTGTAACTCAGTAACCTGTAAATTTCCATTATTTAGGATTAGGGTATGTTTACACTTGTCCTAGTATGGTCCTGGTTTGAGTCCGTTTGAGTCGATTTGGAGTTTACAGATTAATAAGCCAGAAGCCTTGGCACTGGAATTTCCCCTTTCATAGAGACCAGCTTAAACAGTAAAACTGGGCTAGAAGTCATAGTTGCTGAAGTGAAGCGGATAGGACTGAGGTGAGGTGAGTGAGATCACAAAAGCATGATGCGGTGGGTGTTATTCAGTTACTCAGCACCACCACATTCTTCTGTTTAAATAATATTAACTTGAAATAATGTTTACTCTAGTACATTCTTTGGCCATTTGGACATTTTGGCTAAAGAACAAACAATATCAGATGAGTAAACAACATGCAAACTCAAACTAGTCACTTTAACATTATGTAGAACTTTCAGTGACATCAGGAAGTCAACAGCAGGCAACTCAACCACAACACAGCTCTGTGTAGAGAGAGAGGACAGGTGTGGTTTTGCTGCACTAAGCTGTAGTGATGTTGATCTGTCTACAACAATGGCCCACAATCATCATGAAAATGCATAAGTTCAGATGAGTGTAAGAAGTTTTATGTGGAAAAAGCAGTAGTCATACTTTAGGCTCTGTCATCTTCATCCTCACAGCAATTATTCTAATGGGTCTTTACATGAAAAAAGACATAATAAATGTGTTATGTCTTCTAGCACCGGGGAGTCTATGGCCCGTGGGCCAAATGTGGCCCTCAGACCACATTTTATTGGCCCACTGAACTGGTCCAGTTGATCAAAGGTGGAACTTTAAACAGCCAATGTAAGTAATTCTACCACTATAACCTCAACAACATCACGCTGCACTGCACAGACCTAAAATTCATGTTTCAAGCCTTATTAAAGGTTCAGTGGCTATTTAAAATACACCCATGAAAGATCAATGCTCTGTGGCCCTTTGCTTCAAATATATTTAGTGCCAACCCTTATGTCTGTGTTGCATGATCCAATATGAATTTGTCTTTTTTTTTGTTTAAGATGGCACATGTTTTGCTGCACGACCTGAGCTCTGTTTGACTCATTTGTAATGTTTATTTTTTGTCTTTGTATGTTATGTCATATCCACCGCTCAAGTTTCCAGATCATAACATTATCTCACTACTTCAACTGTACAAACAACAAATCAAGAAAAAAACGCCGTGTGCTACAGTGTCCCACAGTGGTCTGAGATAGCCATTGCATGTCTCCAGGATTTGCTGGCTTTCACAGACTGGGAGGTGCTTCAGGGGGACATTTATTACAAGGCCTCTGAGTCTAAGAACTTAAGCACTGGTACTTGCATTCCTGTCAAAACAATTAGGAAATTTGCCAATAGAAATCCTTATGTTATCCCTCAATTGACTGATATGAAATTGGAAAATTGTGAGGCAGGGGCAGATTGGAAACGGAGGTCTCTAATATGAAAAAGGACAAAGGAAGTATTGCACAAGGTATGCACATTATCTGGATTCAAACCCAAAGCCAGTGAAAAGACAGTCACAGACTCATTACAATTTTTGGGACAACTCAGTGCATTCTCTGCTCGATTTGATGATGTGGATTATTCAGATGACAGTGGAAGACTCCTGACAGCACTTCCACCTGCTAACCAGGATGAATCACTCCCTTTTGCAGTGGAGGACGTGATGCTTCAGCTCAGCAGGTGGAGGGCAAAGTCTCCAGTCCTGATGGCATTTCAGCTAAGGTGCTGAAGAACTGTGCACAGGAATTCTCTCCTGCTCTTCAGTCCCTGTTCAAGGAAGTCTTTTTCACTGCCATCATTCAAACCATCTGGAAGACAACCACAATAATCCTGGTACCAGAAGCCCAGGCCCACTGAGCTCAATCACTACCAATCAGTGGCACTCACTTTTATTAAAATGAAGTGCCTGGAGAAAATGCTGCTGTTCCTCGTGAGACTGTTCAAAAAGACAAATCTGACACACTGAGGACAATCTGGGAATGACACATGTGCACAGAGACTGGGGCAGCAAATAAACATATCGCCGAATCGAATCCCCGAATCTGCCAAATATCGATGGTACCAATACTGAGACCAAACATATCGCCCATCTTTATCTGTGGCAGAAAATAGTGCTGGATAGAAATGTAGAAATGTATTTTGGTATAAACCACAATGGCGCAGATTCTCCTCAGTGTGTCTG